CCCCTCTCATGCTCTCTCTATCTCATTCTCTCTCTCAAATAAATAAATAAAATCTTTAAAAAAAAAAGAAGTGGTAGAGCTGGAACATGCAAAAGAATGAAACTGGACCATTCTCTTTAACCATACACAAAAATAAACTCAAAATGGATTAAGGACCTAAGATCCTTGAAGAGAGCACAGGCAGTAATTTTTCTGACATTGGCTGTAGCGATATTTTTCTAGATCTGTCTCCTGTGGCAAGGGAAACAAAAACAAAAAGTATTGGGACTACATCAAAATTAAAAGCTTCTGTACAGTGAAGGAAACAATCAACAAAAACTAAAAGGCAACCTGTGGTATGGGAAAAGATATTTGCAAATGACATATCCGATAAAGGGTTAGTATCCAAAATATATAAAGAACTTAAACAACTGAACATCCCAAAAACAAATGATCCAGTTTAAAAATGGACAGAAGTCATGAACATTTTTCCAAAGAAGACATCCAGATGGCCAAGAGACACGTAAAAAGCTCAACATCACTCACCATCAGGGAAATGTGAATCAAAACCACGATGAGAAATCACCTCACACCTGTTGGAATGGCTAAAATCAATACAAGAAACAAGTTTTGGCAAGGATGTAGAGAAAAAGGAGCCCTCTTGCACTGTTGGTGGGAATGCAAACTGGCGTAGCCACTATGGGAGACAGTATGGAGGTTCCTCCAAAAGTTAAAAACAGAACTACCCTACAATCTAGCAATCACACTACTAGGTACCTACCCAAGGAATACAGAAATAGTAATCCGAAGGGATACCTGTACCTGATGTTTATAGCATCATTATTTATAATAGCTAAGATATGGAAACAGCCCAAGCATCCATCGATTAACGAATGCATAAAGAAGATGTATATATACATAATGGAATATTACTCAGCCATAAAGAAGAATGAAATCTTGCCATTTGCAACAACATGGATGGAGCTAGAGAGTATTTTTTTTTTAAGATTTTATGTATTTATTTGACAGAGACACAGTGAGAGAGGGAACACAAGCAGAGGGAGTGGGAGAGGGAGAAGCACGCTTCCCACTGAGCAGGGAGCCCGATGTGGGGCTCGATCCCAGGACCGTGAGATCATGACCTGAGCCGAAGGCAGATGCTTAACGACTGAGCCACCCAGGCGCCCCAGAGCTAGAGAGTATTATGCTAAGAAAATAAGTCAGTTAGAGAAAGACAAATACCTTATGATTTCACTCATATGTGGAATTTAAGAAACAAAAGAAATGAACAGAAGTGGGGGGGAAGAGAGGCAAACCAAGAAACAGACTCTTAACTGTAGAGAAGAAACTAATAAGTTATCAGAGTGGAGGTGGATAAGGGGGTGGGTTAAATAGATGATGGCGATTAAGGAATGCACTCGTGATGAGCACTGGGTGTTGTTTGGAAATGCTGAATCACTGTATTGTATGCTTGAAACTAATATTACCCTGTATGTTAACTAACTGGAATTTAAATAAAAACTTAAAAAAAAGAAGCGGTGGCAGAGCTGGGATCAGAACGCAGTCAATGACTTAAGAGCCTACACCCTTTGCTCTTGTACCTCCTGTGATAGATAGCAGTGCTTGCAGAATGCTTCTTTGCCTGGAAAGATTCAGATGTGATGGTCCTTAGCCTGATGGAAATAGGTAGCACCCTTGTACATTTTGAATTACGAGTTTCCCTGCCCTGGAATGCAGTTAAGAAAACTTAAACATCACCATATATTTCCTTAAGGTCCTAAAATGTACGTATTGTGCCACAGTTACAGTCTTGGCCTTGTCATTGACTATAAGTTTGGATAAGTTTTTTAAGCCTGGCCTTTGGGTATTTCCAATGTAAAAAGAAGGGATTAGATTAGACAATTTTCTGTATGACCTACGAGCTCAATAAATTACCTGATTCTGTACAAAAATTAAAGGTTGATACCAACTTTTTGTCCAGTCATCTAAAGCCTATTGTTCCAAATAAAAAATAATTTAAGGAAGTATGGGTAGTAAGTGTTCCTCTCTTCTACTCATCTCCTTGTTATTTTAAATACTCAAAAAATTTATACCAGGCTACTGGTTCACACCATCCTAAAGTGTATATGTTGTGTGCTCAATTTTAAAGGCTAGGACTATTCCCAGAAGGTCTGTGCTGGTCACAAACAAAGCAGAACACTCAAGGGCTCAGCACTAAAAATATCACATAAAAATGCTTCCTTCATGCACTCATTGGAACAGGTAATTACTGTGGCAACAATAAACTAATTTGAAGTGTTAGGTGTTAATTAAGACAATGCAGAGGTGTATAGTTGTCTTTTGGTGTAACCAGAGCCTCCATTCAAACTTCATTAATCACTTTATAGTTAATGTGTTGGGGAAGATCAAGACAATTGAGATGCAGTATCCGTTGAAAGTAAACAAATTCCTTTTCTCCAGGTAGGATGCCATTTGCAAAGTTAAGGGACACATTCGACTCATGCCTGGCCTTGCCTTTGTCATCCACTTCTCCTTGATGATTAAATGTTAAACTGGTACTGTCATTGTACTGTAAACCAAACCTCACAGCATCTTTATTGCTCGAAATCGAACCCAAACTTCCACGGATGAATTAGCGTGCATCATAATTAAATCATCAAGCCTCTCCCTTTTGATTCACTTGGAAATAGGAGACCTTTCTTTTGGAAAAGCTTTATTGACAAGCTTATTAAGTTGCGAAACTGTCCAGTATGGCGTACGCATTAGACTGTCTTCTAGTCATCTCTTTATCACTGCTGTTGATCTCAAACGTCCAGGTGTTGCTTGTTGTCCAAAATAACAACCACTATTCTTTTTGCAAATTTTGAATCCTTGTGTATGCGTTCAACTGTTTTGTCTTCATATTTCAGTCCTTGGTTAGGAATTCTAATATACAGAATTTTTAAAAGTTGAAATTGGAAGAATTTATGGTGTACAGGGGGAAAATAATATATCATTAAATCTTACATATTATATTAACTATATTTACATAGAATAAGGTTATTAATTTCCTTCAAATTACATTTCAGATTATCTTAGTCTAACAATTCTGTCAGGCGGTGAGACAAATAGTGTTAGTCATTATATTATATGAGTTCAGATATATCATGAATCATATCATGACCTGAAATGTAGTTTCACATTGTAAAAGTGTGATATTAACATACATAGTAAATTAAATGGTAATTTGTTCTAAAACCGGTATAATATAGGGGTTCCACTTATAAAATGTATACCACTTTATATAAAGTGTAAAAATTTTTTAAATTTAAGTTTTATAACTGTAATAGTATTTATATATACTAGGGAGGTTGATATTTAGAGAAAGTCTTTAGACATCTTACAGATTAAAAAAACTTCAGTAAAATGAACAGTTGCCACTTAATTTTTATAATCTTGCCTTTCTTTAAATGTGATATACTTGAATTTCTTTACAATTAATTGTTAAAGGCTAAGTTTACCTTTCATAGTTGACCTTTGTTCAAATAGGAAAAGCAGAACAAATTTCTTATAACACTAATATTTATAGATATGTACATACATGTATACATATATGTTTTTTTCTAGTCTTACCTGAATTTGTAACATTTTATATGTGAAAAATACTTGCAGGTCCTTAATAACTAAACCATTTCTATAAGTCAGTCACTTAAAAAACACTTGTCAGTGATTGCAAAAACTGTAAATTTGCTAAAAAATTATTGAATTGCATACTTAAAACAAGTGAATTTTACATATATAATTGCACCTCAACAAAGCTGTTAAAAAATTTGTCAGAGCAACCACTCAGATATTTCTGCCAAAACAACAGAGAGTGATGTTTTCGTTTTGATAATAGGAGAATATATGTTTTGTTTTTATCTTAAGAAATGGGCCGTTTTTCCTCCTGAATCATTGCCAAGTCATCATTGGGAGCCTGGTAAATGTATTTTGCAACTTGGCAGGTAAAGTCAGGGAATTCCCAAGAAGCTAACTTTCATTCGCCTCATCTTCCCTATCCAATCACATCTTAACACAGCTGGGTGAGAGGAAGAACACTCTGATTTTGGCTGATGTGCAAGTCTATACTTTTATAGACTTGCAGTAGCAGTGCTTGTTTATTTTGTGTGGTTTGTTTAGACATTTTTATATGAGACAGATTGTCCCCGGATAATGGTCAGAATGTACAGGCGTTGTAGAACGTGTGTGGAAGGCCACATGTCATTTAAACACAAAAGGTCTTAATGAGAAGTAATGGTATCTTACTTCTGCAAACCTTGTTCTCTTATTCTTTTTCATAAAAGAATGTATTTGTAATCCTTGATTTAAACTGTAGTTATTTCACTGTATCTGATCATTTGAGCTTGTCTCTTTTCTAAAGCTTTTTTACTATTGAGAGATGCCAGCTTTAGGAAAAGGTGAACCACACATACTTGAGCCTGATAAGTCTGTGATTTCTTATATGAATTAATATCTTAAGCCATAGCTAATTCCACATGTTTTGATATTATTTTGATGAAATGTAGGGATATAATTTATCTGTTCTATAATTGAAGTAAACAAAAGGAAAACCTCCCAATTTATATGGCTCTATACAGTGCTTAGCAGAAGACTTATAGAAGATTCCTCCCCACACACAGTGCTGGTCAGTTGTAAGGGTCTGGAGTCAGAAGAGGTCTGGGTTTGAGGTCTAGTTCTGCCACTTACTGACTTGGTGCCATTGGGAAAGCTGCTTAGCTTCTCTGTACACCAGCGCTCTCCATCTGTAAGAGGACAATAATAGGACCAGCAATACCTCAGAGGGTTACTAAGGTAATGTATAAAGAATCACTGTCTAAACCATGAAGCTCAATAGAAGTATGAACTACTAATGTTATTAGTGTTCTTTGAAAGTATCATATATCCCATCACTGCAGATATGTTCAGATTCACATTTATGTCCTTAACCATTCTGTAGGTCGTTTAGTATCTCAAGTGATTTTGTTATTTTTTTCTTCCCGTAGAGCATATCATGTCCCGAGTGGAAAAATATTAGCTGTAAAGGTAAGTGCTGGATAAATTTTATGAAGTTCATGAAGTTCTTGTTGCTCACTACTTTCTCTTCCCCTGTTAGCTTGAGTCACAGGTATCGTGAAAGAGGAGATAAAAGGGTTTAAGTTTTGGATGGTAGGTTATGGAAGCTATGGTCCTGTTGTGATATTCAGCCCCTCCTCTCTGAGTGTACCTTCACCACCTCAAGCACTGCTTTCCTATCTATTATTTGTTCCTTTAGATATCATAACTCTTAGATTGTTGCTGCTAATAGATTTAAAGAAAGTCAACTGCAGGTTATTCACTTGAAGAGAAGGGAGCACGCCTATAAATAATCTAAAAAACTTAACTATTTGGCCTTGCAAGTGCATTATAATTTCTCATAATTTCATACATTTTGAATTATGTTTAACCTAGGCTAATATTAAAATTCTTGTGCATGATTATTTAATTGCGTATGGCAAGTTGCTACCACCTATTTCTAGAAATGATTAAAAGCAATTTTAAAGAAAGGACACATTTAAAAAAGAGCTGTTAAAGTAGAGACTTTGAATAAATGAAAACAGTAGGTGTTTACAAATATACTTTGTACTACGACCTGACCATAAAACTGAGCTTTAGAGCGAGGACTGTACTATAATCACTTTATATCCCCAGATTCTATAAAATTTGTAAAACATACTAGATGCTTAAACTGAGTTGAATGAGTGATTTAAGAGTAGGTATGATTGTTGTGTTTAAACTTCGTCTGAGTTAAATGAATGAATGATTTAAGAGTAGATACAATTAGGGGTGCCTAGGTGGCTCAGTTGGTTAAGCATCTGACTCTTGGGTTTTGGCTCATGTTGTGATCTCAGGGTCTTGAGATCAAGCCCTGCATCAGGCTCCACGCTGCACATGGAGTCTGCTTGAGATTCTCTCTCCCTCTCCCTCTGCCCCTCCTGCTCGTGCTCTTTCTCTCTCTAAATGAATGAATAAATCTTAAAAAAATAAAAATAAATTTCTTGTTTAGCCCCGAGCTTCTTAGCAGCCAAGGCAAAAACCATGTAACTTATTTAATAGTCATGCTCTGAGAGAAAGAAATGGCACATTTCTTCAAAACAGGCAGTTGTTTTTTTTAATTAAATCTTAAAGTAGGGCGCCTGGGTGGCTCAGATTGGTTAAGCATCTGCCTTCAGCTCAGGTCATGATCCCAGGGTTCTGGGATCGAGTCCCGCATCGGGCTCCCTGCTCAGCGGGGAGCCTTCTTCTCCCTCTTCTGCTCCCCCTGCTTGTTCTCTCTCTCTCTCTCTCTGTCAAATAAATAAATAAAATCTTTAAAAAAATAAAAATAAAAATCTTAAAGTATGTTATTTAGTTTCCAAATATTTGGAGATTTTCCAGATATCTTTTCATTATTGATTTCTAATTTAAGCCTGTTGTGGTCAGAGAACATACTTTGTATAATTGGAATTATTTTAAATGTATTGAGGTTTGTTTTATGGCCCAGAACATTAATTATTTTGGTGTTTCCTGTGCACATGAAAAAAATGTTGTATAGGGTGTTGTATAAGTGTCAATTAGATCAAGTTGACTGACATTGTTCAAAATTTCTGTATATTTACTGTTTTTTATCTGCTTGTTCTGTCAACTATTGAAAGATGGGTGTTGAAATCTTCAGCAATAATTGTGGGTTTGTCTATGTTTTTTCCTTGCAGTTCTATCATTTTTTTCTTCATGTTTTTTGAAGATCTGTTAGATGTATTTAGGATTATTATGTCTTCTTGATGAATTGGCACCTTTATTGTTTCATTACAAAAGTGACCCTTCTTTAGCCATGGTAATATTCTTTGCTCTGAAATCTACATTGTCTGATATTAATATAGACAGCTACTGCAGCTTATGTTAACATGGCCTTTTACTTTTAACCTGTTGTGTCTTTTTATTTGAGATAAATTTCTTGTAGCCAGAATACAGTTGGGTCTTGTATTTTAATCCATTCTAATAATTGCTGCTTTTTAATTGGGGCATTTAGACCATTAACATTTCATGTGATTATTGCTGTGGCTGGATTCAGTTCTGTCATCTTGCTCTTTATTTTATATTCTGTCTGTATGTCCTTTTTCTTGAGTGGTTGCTTCAGAGTTTATGGTATATATCTTTAAGTTATCATAGTCTACCTTCAAGTAATATTGTACCACTATCTATAATATGAGAACTTTGTGATAGTATACTTTTCGTTTCCTTCATCCTCAACTTGTTTGTTTTTATCATACATTTTAGTTTCTCATATGTTATGAACCCCAGAATGCATTGTTATTATTTTTTATTTAGACAATTATTTGTCTTTTAAAGACATTTCAAAGGTACGATAAGATTTCTTTCATATTTACTCTTGTTTTTACCAACTCCAGTGCTCTTCATTCAATTGTGTAGATCGAGACTTTCATCTGGTACCATCTTTTCTTTTGTCTGAAGGACTTTCTTCTTTTACATTTCTTATAGTACATGAGCCTTCTGGTAATGAATTCTTTTGCCTTTTGCATGTCTGAAAAACGTATATTTGATCTTTCATTTTTGGAAGATGTTTTCACCAGATAGAGAATTCTAGGTTGATCACTCTTTTCTTCCAACATTTGAAAGATTTTGTTTCACAGTCTTCTGGTTTGTGTTCTTTCTAATGAAAAGCTTACTGTCATTTTAAATCTTTATTATTTTACACATTAGAACTGACTTCTCTGGCTGCTTTTAGGATTTTTTTTTTTATCACTAGTCTTATGCAGTTTGATGATAATGAGCTTTTATGTAATTTTCTTCTTGATTCATACACTTAGGATTTGTTGAGATTCTTGGCTCTGTGGATTTTTAGCTTTCATCCAAATTTGGGAAAATTTTAGCCATTATTCCTCCCCCCCAACTTCGGAACTTAAATTGCATATGTATTAGGTTACTTGAAGTTGCCCTGCAGCAGAATGATGCTCTGTTGTTTGCTTTAGTCTTTTTTTCTCTCTAATGGTTCATTTTTGGGTAGTTTCTGTTGTCAGATACTCAAGTTTTCATCTGCGTTGTGTAATCTATTAATCTTGTCCATTGTATTTTTCATTTCAGACACTGAACTTTTTATCCCTAAAAGTTTATATGGATCCTTTTTACATCTTCCATGTCTTTACTTAACCCGCTCAATTTTCCTTCTATCTTCCTGAATATGTGTAATGTAGTTATGGAATATGTGGAATATAATTAACTGAATTAATGGTTTTGTTTATTAATTCCATCATGTGTCATTTGGAGTCAGTTTTGACTGATTGCTTTTTCTCCTCATTTTGGGTTATATTTTATTTTTTTTAAAGATTTATTTTAGAGAGAAAGAGAGTGAGCAAGTTGGGGGAGGGGCAGAGGGAGAAAGAGAATCCTGAAGCAGACTCTACACTGAGTGCAGAACCAGACATAGGGTTCGATCCCAGGATCCTGAGATCATGACCTGAGCCGAAATTAGGAGTCAGCCACTTAACCTACTGAGCCACCGGGGTGCCCAGTATTTTCTTATTTTTAAAAAATCTTATCATTTTTGATTAGATGCTAGTCATGTGTCATAGACACTAGATTTTTTTGCATAAATATTCTTGAGCTTATTCTGAGATGCTATTTAGTGACTTTGAAACAGTTTGATCCTTTCAAGACTTGCTTTTAAGCTTTATTAGATGGGACCAACCCAGTGGTTAGTTGAGAGCTAATTTACCCCACTCAGTTAAGGCAACGGTCTTCTGTATATTCTACCAGTGCTCTGACAGTTAGGAGGTTTTCCACCTTCCCTTGTGGGAACACAAACTCTTTCTGCCTGTTGTGAGGTCTGGAGATTGTTTCCTCTAGTCCTTTCTGGTGGTTCTTCCCTTGCCCTCAGATAGTCTCCTGACATCCAGGTACCGATTGATCATTAATCAACTGAAGACTCCAGGGGCCCCTTGGCAGACCCCCGGAGCCCTCTCCCTTTGGTCTTCTGCCAGGGAGCTCTAGCTGCCTTGGCTTCCTCAGGCCCCCAGTTCCATCTCCTCAACATAGGGAGATGGCTGAGCTTTGCCTGGAATTCCCACCCTGTCCAGGAGCCTGCACATTCTCTAGTCAGTAAGCTAGACAAATCATAAGTCTCCTCTTATTTGTTTTACATCTCTCAAGGATCATTATCCTGTTTTAACTGTTGTCAGCATCTGGACACCTGTTAATTTTTCTGGGTTTGGTTTGGTTTTATTTTGGATCTATTCCTTTCTTGTCACCTCTCCAGTCCAGATGCTTGTTTTGTTTCTTGTCAGACTTTGAACAGAGTTTAAAGTGTTCTCTCAGAAACGGAAGTTGCCATTTATTGATCATTTATACTGTGCTAATAAGCGTACCCTCTCCTCATTTAATTATGAATTAATTAATAAATAGCTTGCTGAAGGTCTCACAAATAATAGAACTAGGATTTGAAGTCAGGAAAGTCTTGCCCCAAGTTCATGCTCTCAACCTGTGTACTATAATGCTGCTCACTGTCCTTAGATTTGGCTTCCTAAAGCATAGTTCTGGTCACATCTCTTCCCTTTTAAAAGTCTTCAAAGGCTCTATATTACTCCCAACTAAACTAAAAACTCTATGGGATGAAACTCAAGATCTTGCACAGTATGTCATCAGCCTACTTTTTATAGCATTATCTTATGTGTCTGAATGCCATGCTTCTTTTAAGTTGAACTCTTTGCTTTATCTGAACCCAGGTACTTTCACACTTCAACACTTTGATTCATGTATTTTTCTCTAATTAGAATGCCTTCACCCATGTCTCTACCTATCAAAATTCTTAACACCCTTCAAGGGTCAGCTCCAAAGCCCACTCCTCTATTGAACTTATGTAGATAAATCCTGTCACATATGGTCTATCTATCACTCACTCACTTTCTCCTTTGAACCTCTCTAAAATTCTCTGTATGTGTTTCTTATGGCTTAGTTATCACATACTGCCTTGTATTTTGCTATTAATATACATGTGCATTTCTGTCCTTACATTCAAATCTCTTTGTAAGTAGAGAACAGATCTTATTTATCTTCTTGTCTTACTCATTGAATCATGCAGAACCTTGCATTTGGGCTTAGACAGAGGATTGCATGTAATAACTAGATGTTCAACACATCATTTATTGAATGACTAAATAAATAAATTTGGTTCTTTCATTTGTTCTTCATTCATTCATCTTTTGAAGCACCATCTTGAAAGCAGGTTCAGCTCACATACAAAATATACCATAGTGTTCTTTGTATGGACCATTGCTCTCACCCAGAGTAGTTCTTAGCTTTTTTTTTTTTTTTTTATTAAAGGGTGAAATGAAAGGTTAAGAGTTAGAAGTGCATTTGATCTTTTCCTGACCCTCTCCTGACTTTTGTGTGACTTCAAGCATGTCACTTGAACCTCTCCGTGACCTCAGCTGTGAAACGGGGCTGCCTCATGTCACAGAGGGATTGCGAAGAGCAGCAAATCACAGTCCTTGTCTAAACAGAATCACCTGCAGGGCTCTGATGCCTGCATAGAATGATGAGGGAAATTTAATTTTCCAAGCCAAGTGGTCAATTGGACCAACACTTTGAATGTCTATGGGAGTAATTAGATGAGAGTCCTTGAAAATCCATTACTTTTCTCTTCCTACTCAAAATACTTCTATTTTTTGTACTTCTAAATGTTCTTACTTTTTTAGACTAATAAAAGAATATTGTAGTGTTTCCCCTTTCAAACTTCAAAGGTGAGAAAACATCACCAGATATTTTAAAAAGCAAGTTGAATTTGGGGAAGAATAGAAATATCTTGGATTTTTATTTTATACCAGTGAATTTAGAAAAATTTCTACCTTCAAGAGAACATTTTAAAAAATGCTAACCAAAGATAACCGTTTGATAATGACTATAATTCATGAAATGTGTTTCTAACTCACTTTACTGGGGGACGGGGGTGGAGGTAGGCAAGGTAGTTGCAAACAAGTAGAGCAGAAAACAAATAAAAATAATGTTAGCCATCTTGGCAAACATAACCCTTTTTGTATCATAAATGTATTCTATAAAAATCTTTCAAAGTACAGCCTAACAGATTTCCTAATATTTTTTATTTTCTAATTGGGAAAAAGTCACCTAAGAGGAAATTTCTTAGCTTGTATATAGCATGTGCTGATTATCATTCTTTGACTGCTTTGGGTTTCTGCTGCTTTTAAACTAGCATTTAAATGGACCATTTGATTAATCATTTGTATACTGACTGTAATCCTCCCAAATTTCCTTTCTGAGTTGTACATACTGTAAAAGACAATTATGTCGCCACAGATTAAATAAGCGAATTAAAACAGAATAGAGGCTTAATTTGACCTGTGATTTTGCTCTCCTTCCCTTTAGTGGAGTGTATGCCACTCCAGCAAATAAATGAAGTCATCCATGACAGCTTGTGATGAATTGCCGTATTTATACTGTATATTTTAATAGCCTCACACTAATTTAAATTGAGCACAGAGTAAATTATAATTCAGTCACTTGACTGCTTATATTTAACTTGACAACTCATCCTTATTTGTCCTGGAGGTGTAGTGGAGAGCAGCAGAAATGCATCCAGGTATTTTAGTTTCTCACTTAACCCTTTCTCCCTGAAATGCTTCATGTGCAGATCCTTTCCAGTTTGAAAAATTGAGCTCTTCCTAAGGAAGAAAAAATCACAGTAATAATGAAGGCTCAGGGAGTCCATACTTTCCTTGTACTTTAAAAAGAAAATTAGAATTTGCCATGCTTTTTTCCATTGCTTTCAAATAAGGAATTGGACTTACTTTTAGCAGTTTAAAAGCTCACTCCCAGGGATGCCCAAGGGAAGGAGAATTAACCTTCTACCTAGAGTACCAAGTCTCCCAGAAAATAGAAGAGCATTTCACTAGAGTTATTTTAAGGTGAATTTTACTTTCCCTCTTAAGTTCCAGAAATTACTTTATTCACTTTTGCACCGTTATGGAATCTCCGCTATTCTGGCCCATAACAAATACCAGGAATGATCAAAACCCACTAGAATGCAGTGGATTGGCCCCACAAATACAGTATTACTTGCTACATTTTAGGTCAGTGTGGCACTTTTATTTATTTTGGTGTTTATGTCTTCAGTGTTAAATTCAGTTGTAGAAATCAAGCAATCCACCTCCTTCCTGTCTAGAAACAGCTTCTTATTTAGAGGATTATGGTTGTAAGGAGCACTTTAATTAAATCCCACATCACTTAATGGGCACTGCTGTAGGAAAGACCCTGTGCTGGGTGCTGGGTGTAGGGGCAGGGGGACCAGAGAAAGATGCCCAAGACCCAGTGCTTGCCTTCGTGGGGCTTACAACCACTTTACTCTCTAGGCTTGTGGTTTTAGGAGATAGGCATGAATGCCAAGGTAGAATGTGAGAAGGGGCATTGTCAAGGGCCAGAGCTAGAGATAAATTCTGATAGAGGGCTTTGGGGCTGGCTTCATGGAGGTAGTGGTGGTGTCATTCAAGCTGGGTCCAAAAGATAAGAAAGGTTTTATGATTAGTAACTGTGGGGTGGAGTGAGGAAGCACACCTCCAGTGGAGGGAACATCAAGAGCAAAGACAAAGCGGGGAAAGCACAGGACCTATGTGTGGATCACCAGTACAAAGCACCTAGTTTCTGAGTTGGTGGTATGGTGGTGAGCATAGCTGCCTTTCATATCATCTGGCTTCACATGAGAATTGGGTTTGCAGTGGGGAGCAGTGGGAGAAGGAGTTGGAATAACTAGATTGTGGAAGAATTCTTTGAATGTTGTGCTGTAGTTTTGATGTTATGCTAGGCCATGGACACCTAATTAAGGTTCTTGATCAAGGGAATGATATGTTTACAGCCAGTAGTTTGGGGTTAATTGCAAGGTGTTGGCTCACTATGTGGAATCCTGCCGTTTCTGGATTGGGGGCCTGGAGATGCAGGATATCTTAGCAGTCATACAGAGTACTGAATAAATGGCATTTTCGAAACCTTAGATAAGTGGTTCTCAACCTTAGTATGGGTTAGAAATCAGGTGGAGAGTTTTTTAAGAATATCAAGATGTGGGCCCAACCCACAATTGATTCCGTTCTTCTGGGGTAAGGCCTGTGCACCAGGATTTGTTTAAAGTACCCTCATGTATTGATATAAATACCTTTATATAAAAGTAATAATAATATGCGGCTATGGTTGAGAACCACTGCTCTGAGGTAAATAATAAGTTCATTCCTTTTCGTAGAGTTTTGGGGTGAAAGAGTCCCTGCATTTGACATGGTGGTGTGAATAGTTCTGATATTTTATGGCATGGAATTGAAACAACACTAGATGAATTTATTTTGTCGCTAAGTTTTATACAGGAACAAAAATGTAAGTGAATATTGTTGGCAAATGACTATTGATCGAGAGAAATGTTTAAGTGTTTCTCGGCAGTTTTGTATTACACTTACAATCTAGTTTAGTGAGAGCTTTTATAAATAACCCTAAAGCAAAAACTCCTGATAGAAACTGGCCATGCCTTTCCCCCCCTCACTTTCCCCTCCCCCAGCTGGATGTCAGTACTATAGAACATGTGTTTTAAAATTGTCCTTTTCTTTCCATGCTCTATCAGCAGTTTGCAATTCATAATTTATGGGTTTTTTTTCCCACTGTGAGTGCATATATTCTGAGGTTGTAATACAAAATCTGTTTCAGTGTTGCCTGGTGTATAACCGCACTATCATGGTAATTGTGAATGTTAAGTTTTTATCTAGAAACGTCTAGAGTCAGAAACTCTGCCACAAATCTTAAAAATTATCTTTCACCTATTTTATTCTCAGCACTTTTTTTTTTTAAGATTTTATTTATTTATTTGAGAGAGAGAGAGAGAGAGGAGAGACAGTGATAGAGTAAAAGCCGGAAGGAGAGGGAGAAGCAGGCTTCCTGCAGAGCAGGGAGCCCGATGCGGGGGCCCGATCCCAGGACCCGGGGATTGACCTGAGCTGAAGGGAGATGCTTAACGACTGAGCCACCCAGGCGCCCCACAGCACTGTCTTTTTAAAGTAAAAACAATTTCCCTTGAATTGGCTTCACTGAACTGTTAAGTAAAATTTGAACAGTTGACGGTCTCCTTTCTTAAGAAACAAGTGTTTGAAATAAACTAGAACTTATTCTAAGTAAGTTTATAAATTGTTTTACATTTCCATGTTACCAATCTTCCTCAGTTGATGCTTTGAGGAAAAACCATAAACCGCCAGGACATTCTAAGAGGTGTCTGGGAGTCAGGGAGGGACCTTGACATTGCCAGGCTGTGTGGCTTCTCAGCACCTTGCTTTCCTCCTTTAAAACAAGAGAATTAAATGAAATCATTTCTGTGGCTCCTTCAAGCTCCAGCATTTTATTATAGTATTAGCAAAGAAACATGACTTTGAAAAATATAAAAAGATGATGTATTTTTAAAACTCCTTATTTCTCATAACTAAAAAACCTACTTTAAATGTCATTTTTACTCATCATCCTCTCTGCTTATCACCTAGTGTCTGAATTACAAGACAGTTTTTTTTTTTAAATAGTTTCAGAGTCATTCCTTTCTTCCTTTTCTGGAAATAACCAATGTGGCCAAAATAGGGTATATAAATTAAGGGTGTTATAACTTAACTGACTTTTAAAGCCATTAATACTGACCTTTGAGACCTGGCTTTTTCCGTGGTCCCATCAATCACTTCTATACCACCTCCCCCAATGCAAAGGGTTAGGCAGATGTGGGTACAGTTTGTACTCCTGAGGGTTAGAGTAGTGGAGAGGAGAAAAAGGGGGCAATGAAGAGAGGAAACACTGTATTTTTTCCTTTTTATATTTCATAGTGAGTATAGATGTATTTAATTTAAAGGTGAATATATGTGTAAATGTTGATTCCTTTCTGTATTTAGGTCATACTGCTAGATATTACACTGGAACTTCAGAAGCAAATTATGTCTGAATTGGAAATTCTTTATAAGGTAATTTTTTTTGGTGATTTTTTCTCATAAAGCATCTTACGGTATTGGCTTGCAGGTTTGTTTGTTTAACTACCTTTGTCTTATTTTTGTTACAGTGTGATTCATCATATATCATAGGGTTTTATGGTGCATTTTTCGTAGAAAACAGGATTTCAATATGTACAGAATTCATGGATGGTGAGTTTTCCCTATTATAATATTTTAAAAATGATTCGGAAGGTAGAGTACTTATAACCTGGTTCTGATATAGATGTCAAGTAGAATTAAAAATAATTAAAATATACTAATAATTACCTCCTTTATACTCTAAATGTCTCAGTGTTAGAGGTTCCTGGTGTTAAATATTTACAGCTGAGCTATAATTTCAGAATGTAATTTCATTTACTTTTATTGAAAATTTAAATAGAACAAATTAAATGCTGGTGGTTTGATATTTGATTCTTCCATACAATCTGTCCTTACTTGCAAAACAGATGTTCTGTTCTTTTAATGTTTCAATAGCCAAAACAGATTTTCTTTTAAAGAAATCTATTAACCCAATGTCCTGTGTCTTTTAGAAAGAAATCGGTTCTTAATTGCAAGATAAGAAATTGTTTTTCAATACAGCTGTTTAGCCAAGATGCGTTTAGTTTTCTTTGGACTCTAGCCCTTTCCTTTCATCTGTATTTTTCATTCATTTCTATGTTGCTAACTCTTTCTTGATCTGAATATTTTGGCAAAATGCAGATTTCTTGGTACCCTATCCCTGAAATGATGTCATCATTGTTATTTACCCATTTTAAATCAGAGCAATCTTGGGACGCCTGGGTGGCTCAGTCGTTAAGCGTCTGCCTTCGGCTCACTCAGGTCATGATCCCAGGGTCCTGGGATCGAGTCCCACATCGGGCTCCCTGCTCGTCGGGGAGCCTGCTTCTCCCTCTCCCACTCCCCCTGCTTGTGTTCCTGCTCTCGCTGTCTCTCTCTGTCAAGTAAATAAAATCTTTAAAAAAATAAAATAAAATAAAATAAATTAAAAAAAATAAGTCAAAGCAATCTTTAGATTTTACATATCAGTTTTTCAATGTCTAGTGCATTAAAACTCAACATTTTTTTAATATACTTAGTTCATCTGGGGGATTCTCAGTATATTACTAAAGCAACTAGTTCATGCCTTGGAAGACTTTTTAATAACCCAACATTGGTACCTTGATAGTATAATAAGGTATATCATGTGTTCTAAATTCAGTTTCATTAAAATATGTATTTATTGAGATGGCATATTTAATCACCATAAAAGTCACCATTTTGATGTATACAATTCAGTGGTTTTGAGTATATTCACAAGGTTGTGCATCCTCATCATCACTAATTCCAAAACATTTTTAATCACCCCAGAAACAAACTCCTTAGCCTTTAGCAGCCACTCACTCTTCCCTAATTCCGCTAATCTGTGGCAACAACTAATCTACTTTGTGTCTCTAGATTTCCTTATTTGGGACTTTTTATGTAAATGGAATCATGCAGTATGTGGCCTTTGTGTCTGGCTTTTTATACTCAGCATAATGTTCTTAAGGTTTATCCATGTTGTAGCATGTATCAGTACTTTATTCCTTTTTATAGCCAAATAATAATCCATTGCGTGGACGTACCACATTTTCTTCATTCATTCATCAGTTAATGGGCACTTGGGATGTTTCCACTTTTGGGCTGTTAATGAATAGTGCTGCTCTGTGCATTTGTGTACAAGTTTTTGTGTGGACATATGTTTTCAGTTCTCTTGAGTGTATATATCTAGGAGTTAAATTGCTGGGTCATATGGTAACTCTATGTGCAATTTTTTGAGGAACTGCCAAACTGTTCCATTCTATTTCACACCAGTTTGCCTTTACACCTGCAATGTATGAGGGTTCCAATTTCTCCACATCTTTGCCAACACTTGTTACTGTGTGTCTTTTTTATTATAGCCTGGTGAGAAATGGTATCTCTTTAGTTTTGATTTAGATTTCTTTTTTTTTTTTTAAGATTTTGTTTATTTATTTGACAGAGAGAGACATGGCGAGAGAGGGAACACAAGCAGGGGGAGTGGGAGAGGGAGAAGCAGGCTTCCCACTGAGCAGGGAGCCTGATGCGGGGCTCGATCCCAGGACCCTGGGATCATGACCTGAGCCGAAGGCAGACGCTTAACGACTGAGCCGCCCGGGCACCCTTGATTTAGATTTCTTAATGACTGATGACGTTGACAGTATTTCCCTGTGCTTATTGGCCATTTGTATATCTTCCTTGGAGAAATGTGTATTCAAATCCTTTGTCTATCTTTACATGGGTTACTTGTGTTCTTATTGTTGAGTTTGTAAGAATTCTTTTTATATTCTGGATACTAGACTCTTATCAGATGTATGATTTGCAAATATTTTCTTCCATTCTCTGAGTTGTCTTTTAATTTTCTTGATCGTGTCCTTTGAAGCACAAAAGTTTTAAAATTTGATGAAGTTCAGTTCATCTGTTTTTTCTTTGGTTGGTTGTGCTTTAGATGTCATATGTAAGAAACTGTTGGAAATTTACACCTGTTTTCTTCTAAGAGCTTTATAATTTTCACTCTTACATTTAAGTTTTTGATCCATTTTGAGTTAATTTTTGTATATGGTATAGAGTCCAAATCCATTCTTTTGCATGTGAATATCCAGTTGTCCTAGCACCATTTGTTTTTTTTTTTTTTTTTTAAAGATTTTATTTATTTGACAGAGAGACACAGTGAGAGAGGGAACACAAGCAGGGGGAGTGGGGGAGGGAGAAGCAGGCTTCCCGGGGAGCAAGGAGCGCGATGTGGGGCTCGATCCCAGTACCCTGGGATCATGACCTGAGCTGAAGGCAGAAGCTTAACCATCTGAGCCACCCAGGTGCCCCATCCTAGCACCATTTGTTAAGATTATTCTTTCCCATTGAATTTTCTTGGCACTCTTGTCAAAAATTTATTGACCATGAAATGTATTTTTGGGCTTTTGATTCTATTCCATTGATCTATTTGCCCATCCTTGTGGCAGTACCAGACTGCACTTTCTTGCTTTTACTTTATTATTCTGGATTATTTGAGCTTTGTGGTAAGTTTTAAATTAAGAAGTGTGAGCACTCTGACTTTATTCTTTCTCAAGATGATTTTGGTCATTCTGGGTCCCTTGCATTTTCATATGAATTTTGTAATCAACTTGCTAAATTTGTACACATACCAAAAAAGGTCCAGCTAGGATTTTGATACAGATTGCAGTGAATCTGTAGATCAATCTGGGGAGTACTGCCCATTTAGCAATATTGTCTTCCAGTCCATGAACACAGTCTGTCTTTCCATTTATTTAGATCCTCTTTAATTTTTTTCAGTGACGTTTTATAGTTTTCGGTGATCAAGTTTTGCAGTTATTTTGTTAAACTTATTCCTAAATATTCTTTGACACTATTATATATTGAACTTTTAATTTCATTTTTAATTATTCATTGCTAGTATATAGAAATATAAATGATTTTTGTATATTGATCTTATATCCTGCTACCTTGCTAAACTTGTTTCTTAACCCTAATAGGTTTTCATAGATTCCTTAGGGTTTTCTATATAGATCATGGCACCTGCAAATAGATGTAGTTTTACTTCTTCTTTCCAATCTGGATGCTTTTTATTTCTCTTCCTTGCTTAACTACCCTGGCTATAGCCTTCAGTACAGTGTCAAGTAGAAGTGGTAAGAGCGACATCTTTCTTTTGCTCCTGATCTTAGAGGGAATGTTTTAGTCTTTCAGTATTAAGTGTGGTATTAGTTGTGGGTTTTTAGTAGATGTCCTTTACTGAGTTGTCAGAGTCTCCTTCTCTTCCAAGTTTGTTGAGTATTTTTATCATGAAAAGGCATTAGATTTTGTCAAGTGGTTTTTCTGTGTTTGTTGAAATGATCATGCGGGTGCCTGGGTGGCTCAGTTGGTTAAGCATCCGATTCCTGATTTCAGCTCAGCTCATGATCTCAGGGTTGTGAGATCGAGCCCCACATCAGGCTCTGTGCTCAGGACAGAGTCTGCTTAAAATTTTCTCCCTCTCCCTTTGACCCTTCCCCCCATGCTCTCTCTCTATCTCTCTCTCAAATAAACAAATAAATCTTTAAGAAAAGAGTCCAAGAACTATAGAAATATATGAACAAAAGAAGAGAATAATCCAATCCCCAAGATATCCCCTTACATATTTTGTTATTCTGTTGTTAGGTGCGTATGTGTTTATAATTGTTATATCTTCATGATGGATTTACTCTTCTATCGTTATAAAATGTTTTTGTCTCTAGTCACTGTATTTGTCTAAAAGTCTATTTTGTCTAATATTAGTATGGTCATCCTAGCTCTCTGTTGATTCTTATTTGCTTATTATATCTTTTGCTATTGTTTGGCCATCAACCTATTTGAATCTTTGAATCTAAAGTGCATCTCTTGTAGACGTAGAGTTGGGTCATTTTTTAAATCTGTTCTGCCAATCTGTCAGTATTTAATTCATTTACATTTAATATAATTACCCAGGAGTGCCTGGGTGGTGCAGTCATTTAAGTGACTGACTCCTGGTTTTGGCTCAGGTCGTGATCTTGGGGTAATGAGATGGAGCCCCATGTCAGACTCTGTGCTCAGCGTGGAGTGTGCTTGGGATTCTCTCTCCCTCTCCCTCTGCCCCTCCCTCCCAAAATAATAACTAAATCTTTAATATAATTACCAGCAAGGTAGGATTCATATCTGCCATTTTACTACTTGTTTTCTTTACGTCTTACATCTTTTATGTTCCTCTGTTTCTCCATTACTGCTTTATTTTATGTTAGATATTTTTTAATGTATTGCTTAAATTCTCTTGCGGTTTTACTATTTTTTTTTAGTTATATTTTTGGTTTTCCTAGAGATTATAATTAACATTTTAACTTGTAACAACTTAGTTCAAATTGATATCAACTTTTTTCAAGTATATAAAAACACTGCTTCTATTCAGCTCCATTCTTCCCCTCTCCTTTATGCTGTTATTGCCATGTAAGTTACATCTTTATAAGTTGTATGCTTATTAACACAGACTTATACTTCTGCTTTTTACAGTTCTCTTTTATTTATTTTTATTTATTTTTAAAGATTTTATTCACTTGACAGAGGGACACAGCGAGAGAGGGAACACAGGCAGAGGGAGTGGGAGAGGGAGAAGC